TCCCATAATTCCTGGTCATTGACCAAGGTAGCTGAGAACTGAAGTCCCAAAACGTGAAGAACTAGAATTTTGGAATTACTGCTCTAAGCAAATATCTCTAATAATAATGAAGCCTTTAAAAAAAAAACCTGTGCTATGACATGCAATGAAAATATTCCATTTCCAGTAACAGTTTCTGGTGTTTTGCTTCCCAATTAAGTGTTGAGCTATGGTCAGTTTTAGTCAGAACTTGGGATAGATACTTGTCAGACTGCAACTCCTCAAATCCTCAAGTCATGGTACTTCTGATAGCTTCAACCAGTGATACTTGCAGTCACCAGTCCATAAGCCACAAGCTGATTGCAAACAGAAAGTTTCCAAGTAATAGGCAATGGTAGCCAATTAATAAAATGTGGGGAATATATTGGTTATTCACCTCCACGTAAGAAAGTTTAAGAAGCTAGAGCCTTGGTGAGGAAATAGTCTGTATTAAACTAGGTCGTCTTGGGCTCTACAAATCAGCCAAAGGAACAAAAAACTCAATCATCAGTTGGTTAAAGAAGAATATTGGTCTAATCAAGGTTACAAGGTCACTCCTCAAAGTGCACAGTAACAACTACCAGGCCTTAAAGCAGTGCTTCTCAACCTTCCTCATGCCGCGACCCCTTAGTCCAGGTCCTCATGTTATGGTGACCCCCAACCATAATGTTATTTTCGTTGCTACTTCACAACTGTAATTTTGCTACTGTGATGATTTGTAATCTGATATGCAGGATGTATTTTCAGTCACTGGAACAAATTTGACACAAATACCCAATACGCCCAAATTTGAATACTGGTTAGGTTGGGGGTGATTGCTTTTGTCATTTGGTAATGCTGGAGTTGCTGGGATTTATAGTTCACCTAAAATCAAAGAGCCTTCTGAACTCCACCAATGATGGAATCAAACTTGGCACACAGAATTCTCATGACCAAGAGAAAATACTGGGAAGCTCTGGTGGACATTGACCTTGAGTTTTTTGGAGTTGTAGTTCACCTACTTCCAGAGAACACTGTGGACTCAAGCAATGGTGGATCTGGATCAAACTTGGCACAAATACTCAATATGCCCAAATGTGAACACTGGTAGAGTTTGGAGAAAATAGACCTTGCCATTTGGGAGTTGTAGTTGTTGGGATTCATAAGTTCACCCACAATGAAATAGCATTCTGAACCCCACTGATAAAATTGGACCAAACTTTCCACACAGAACCCCCATGACCAACAGAAAATACTATGTTTTCTGATGGTCTTTGGTGACCCCTCTGACACCCCCTCGCAACCCCCATGGGGGTCCCGACCCCCAGGTTGAGAAACACTGCCTTAAAGGTTTTATTGAGAGAGGCAATAGTTAACAGTTGCCATTTGAAATTCATAAACTTTCTTCATAATTCATTACTCTTCTTTATCATCTCACCCAAAGGTAAAAACAGCACATTCTAAAATTCCAGCACAGAGAGGAAGGTCCCCACAGGCATTTGGAGAGAAGAAAAATGTAAAATTCAAAAGGAATTGTGATCAGAAAGAACAATTAGGTGTTGTGAGTAACTTCTATCTGCCAGGCAGTATTCATTACCTCTGACTGAATGGCGCTGAAGTTCCAGACCTGGGCTGAAGAGCGGTAGGAAAATCAGAAAATAAATAAGTCTGACATTTTTAATAACAGTTTCAAGAAGTTGTAAGCCAGTGGGATCATTTTCCTATGGAAATGCACTGCCTGTGGTTGATTTGCCACTTTGGGCTGAACTGTTTGCATTTAATGACAAATCCTTTCCAAATCTCTCACTTTGCAGAAGCAGCAGGGCCCGGAGGAAGTTCATATTTCAGAGAAATTAATTCAAAAATGGTAACGAGCCCAAGATTAAAAACAAACATGAGACGCTGTGAAGGGCTGAAGTCTCAGGGCATACATACCACTTTGTTAGGTTACAATGAGAACTCTGTTGGCAGCCAAAAGACTGACTGGCTCAGGAATGGAGAAAAGCTGTCACATCATCTTAACGACCCAGCAGTGTTAAGAAGAGTAAACAGGGTGGGTTCAATGACATGGACACAAGCCCTAATGAACATGGTAAAGCCCTTAATTTGTAGATGTCCTCTGAATGGTCATGTATTCCGATTCCTGTTCAAAGATCCATCATCCTAAGAAAGGACTTCAAGGGTCTAGAAGTTGCCTGTAAATAATTTTCAGCAGCTGGACATCAGGCTAAGTAGGCGGTTATGTCTCCTAATTTCCTCCATAATGGTGAAATGTGCTATATAACTGTTTAAAATAGAGGTTGGAACTGTTAATTACAACATTAATGTAATCAAAATAATATTATGCTTGTGGAGTCACTGCAACACGAGGAACTGTATTAAGGGGTCATGGCATTAGGAAGGTTGAGAGACACTGTGTTAGACTGTCCCAGTAGGTTAATATCAAGCTGATGGTTTGCCAATACACTAGAGATGCTGGAAGATGTGGGCAGTATAGATTCACCTCATTTGAGAGGTGAAATGATGGGAGAGGCTACAGCAGCCTTTGTTGTTGTTAATGTTTATCAAGCCAGCTTCCACTTATGGAAGCAAAGTCCAAATAAACTCATTGAAATAGCCAAGGTCAACAGTCTAGGGTCAGAAGTGCCGATTAGTCATTCGAATTCATCAGAATAGTCAAATGTCTCGTCCAGGGTCAGAAACACTGTTCAAGCAAACAAAATGCCAGAAGTCAGATTATCAGGGGTCAAAGCAGAAGCCCTTGAGTAACAGATCACTAAGTGGCAGTCAGATCCCAAGAGGAAACCAAGAGGGCATTGGACTCAAACCAGGAAATGTTGTCCTCTGCATCATCAAAAGACTAATGACTTTTTCTCTTATGTTGATTATGGATTTTTTCTCAGCTAATCTCTAAAACCTGTGACATCTTGCCTGCTCTTTCCTATGCTTTAGAGGTGTGGGTAAATGTAACCCTCTCTAGCTTGCTCAGATGTGTTTGTTTCAGCGTCCTCTAGGGCAGTTTCTCAAACTCTGCTCCTCCAGATGTTTTGGACTTCAGCTACCACAATTCCTAACACCTGAAAACGTGGCTAGGATTTCTGGGAGCTGAAGCTCAAAACACCTGGAGGAGCAGTTTGAGAAACACTGTTTTAGGGCTTGCTCAGGCTGCTGGGGTGTCTGTCAGCTGAAGGCTCAACTGAGTTAGGCTGGGCTGACAGCTGGGAGCTGCTGCCCTCCATCTCCTCTGCTGTTCCTTGTCCTCACTGAGCTGTCCATGACACCCATTTGTACAATTTACCAAGGTTGACATTGTGCTTCTTTTTAATGTTGATATCTATCACTGTGCTTAGGTTTTCTGTATACTGTATGGCATAATTGTTGGTTCAGTTTGCGAATGACTAAGACATCTAAAAATGGCAGTTTTCTTTCATTTTCCATGGTAAATTGGATGTGTGGATGGATACTGTTGATATAGTCCAGAAGCTTGTTTAGGCTTCAAATGGTGAAGGTATCACCCACATAACAAAACCCACATAACAAAACCATAAGAGGGCTTTTTCGTGTTTCAAGGGCATGTCTCTTAAAGGGCTTGTTCCATATAAAAATTTGCTATGGCAGGGCTAAGTGGGCTCCCCATGGCCACCCCATCTTTCTATTAGCAGAATCCACGATCCCACGATAAGTAGCTTGTAGTAAGGCAATGTTGAAACAGGGCTGTGATGTCTTTTGGGAAATTCCAATTAACAAGTGCCATGATGAATAGAGAAACCATATTAAAGCTAATCAGTTTGTCACTGAAGTTGAGTTTAAGATTATTTTTTCTATGAAGTGTGCTGAGTCCTTAATGTAATGTAGTCAGTCCAATATGGGTTTGTAGTTGTGCATTCAGAAGTTTTGCCCGTTGGATATGAAAAGCAGTAGGAGTTTCTCCTGCTGGCATTAAATATACAGCCCCCTGACAACATGGCAATAAGAAATATGCTCAGTTGACTGTATTTCCATTCCCTATTTGGCCCTCAATCAGTGCAAGTCATATTGAAATATTGACCCTCCTGTGTCTTTAAGAATAGTTGTTTTTGCTTATCATATCTTTCTTTAGTAATGGAATAGGTTACCTCAAAAAAAAAAAAACAAACCTCCCATCTTAATTTTCAATCCCAAATCTTCTGTACAATAACAAAAGCTTTCATTGCTGACAATTTGTTCATTCGTTCAGTCGTCTCAGACTCTTCGTGAACTCATGGACCAGCCCACGCCAGAGCTCCCTGTCGGCCGTCACCACCCCCAGCTCCTTCAAGGTCAGTCCAGTCACTTCAAGGATGCCATCCATCCATCTTGCCCTTGGTCGGCCCCTCTTCCTTTTGCCTTCCACTTTCCCCAGCATAATTGTCTTCTCTAGGCTTTCCTGTCTCCTCATGATGTGGCCAAAGTACTTCAACTTTGTCTCTAGTATCCTTCCCTCCAGTGAGCAGCCGGGCTTTATTTCCTGGAGGATGGACTGGTTGGATCTTCTCGCAGTCCAAGGCACTCTCAGAACTTTCCTCCAGCACCACAGCTCAAAAGTATTGCTCTTCCTTCGCTCAGCCTTCCCTAAGGTCCAGCTCTCACATCCGTAGGTTACTACAGGGAATACCATGGCTTTGACTAGGCGGATCTTTGTTGCCAGTGTGATGTCTCTACTCTTTACTATTTTATCGAGACTGGACATTGCTCTCCTCCCAAGAAGTAAGCGTCTTCTGATTTCCTGGCCACAATTATTAAATAGTAAACACACACAATCTTCCAGAGATTAGTAAAGAGATGTTCCTCAAGCTCATAGCAAATGAGAAAGAGCAAACTGATACTCTTCACCACGACCACTGAGAAGATTATCACCTCACAACACTGTAAAGGAGGATCCACCTCCATTCACTGAAACCACATCTTCCTTGCTTGGTTAGACCCAAAGCCATGGTCAGCAATTCTCAATTCTAGGTCTTACACCAACCATTGACACAAACACAAGTCATTGATGTTTTATTAATTTCCACTGCTGAAAGTGCACAAGAGAGATAGAAAAGAGCCCATCTGCACAAGAAAGAACCCCACCCTCATGAACAGCTCCTGTGTACATTCCCACCTTGCATGAGAAAGAAGTCTCAGGCAAGTGATGCATCTGTGAGCCTCACAACAATGCATCCTACTTCCACCATACAAGGCATTTATCCACAATGGCTGTATGCTCAGCTGGGGCTAGCAGAGATCTCAGTCCCTCTTTACAAGAGCCACAAGAGTAGAGTAGAATTCCTATTGCAAAGCAATGTATTGGGAGGTATAATAAGCATATCGAGCCACAGCAAGATTTCTAAAGATTTACACCATATTGGGAACATTTAATAATGCAATCTCAGCGACCCTTGCTTAGCTATGGATCTAAAGAGGCACATCTGAACATGGGATAATGAGAACATATTGTGTGCTGCTGGGAAGCCTAAGCTGCACTAAGCTCTAAACAAGACTTTGAATGTATCAAGTTCAGTGTAAGGCAGTGAAAGCACCTACAGACTGGCTCTCTTCCTCCCTTTTGGGCCCAACCGAGAAATGTGATTGCCAGTATGGCTACAGCCTTCTTCTCAGAAAAAGGGAGGCTTTGGGGGTATCTGGCCCAACTTGATTAGGTACTGCTATTAAGTGAGTACCCTGGGGTCTGTCTTATCAGTGCTGTGTAGGATATGAGCCAAGCCAGACTGGACGGTTTTGAAGATTAGAAAATTTTGCCTGCTCTGGCAGGCAAAAATCAGAGGGATGGTCTGAAATGTACAGATTTTAAAAGAAAGCAGAGCAGAGATTATTCCTGCTTCCCAATTCCAACAGGTCAGATATTGTTAGAAGATAAAACCACGCAGTGTTGCAAACATTCATTGGAATTAAAATCTGTTATTGGTAGGTAAATATTAAACCCTTCCCATGTGAGTGGGCCTGGGCAAATTAGATAGCAGCATCCTGGATCTTTCTCCATGTGCAACTGTGGACTTGAAGCCAGGAAAATCATGACCACAGGCCTTGCTGAGGTTGACAGCAGTATCCTATCCTCCAGGAAAACTGCTCCAGAAGGGAGGATTCTGCTGCACCTTTCCTCCATGCTAGCTCTTGTAATCTTGGGACCCTTTTAGGCCTGCCTTCTGCTGGGCTACGTCTTCCTCTTTTTTCTTCATAGCCTCAAGCACAGCCAGCTCCTTGGCTTCTTTTTTTTGGTTCCGGGCTTCAAACTCCAGCCTGAAATGACCAAGAGACAGGTTACATGGTGATTTCACTAAGAATTCTTAATTCCTTTGGAGTTGTGTTCCTGGAAGGGACAACCCTGCCCTGTAGGTCTGCTGGGCTCTCACTTCCAATAAAGCAAATGAAGTGTTTGGGCTTCCAAAGTATTTTTGCTCCCAGTTGGATTCTCATAGGGCTTGGGACTTTAGGCACAATACAGTATCACCGGAACGTGGAAGCTTGGTAAGAATTAGAGAACTAGGAACGGGATATTGTTTAAATACTATCAGGATACCGTGGGTGGGGATACTTTGGAATCCCAAACACATACTTTATTTTACCTCAAATGACTCTGATAGGAACCAGCAACAACAGAAAGAAGCCAGCACTGCAATAAACTGTGCAGAACAGAGGTTCTCTATTACCAGTGAAGTCTTAAAACACCATCTTCTAGCCAAACATCAAGTGCAAGAGTCTTCTTTATTCTTATAGGCAGTCAGATTCATTATGTGGGATAGCTAGTGGTATTTCTCTCCAGTTTCTGCACCAAAGTCATTGCTCCAAGTGAACTCTGAACAGATCTATAGTTTGTGCACATGTGCACAAGTGATTCTGACTGCAATATTATTTACATATAATTCAGGTCTTGCAAGGCCAAGAAACTAGAATACTATAGACAGAAGCCTTAACATAGACATAAAACCATTGAAAGCAAGAGTTGTGCAGCACACAGAATTTCTACAGCAACAGTATGAGTAAAAAAAACCTGAGAGGGCAAGAGTAATAGATATAAAAAGCTAGTCAAAAGATCAGAGAGATTCCTTATCTGCTGAAAAAGCAACGGACAAAAGAAACTGAGGCTGTAGCCCCTCCCACTGACTATATAGATTATTGGGGAGTTTGGGCGGGGCTACCACCAAAATGTATCCTAAAGACACTAGAAGTTTCTGAACTGACTGCACAGGCATAGGAAATACAGTACCATGTGTGTGATTTCACAGAGACCATGAAGAAGAAATGACTGATTAGTGCGGAGCCATAGATGTAAAGACAGGTGAGAAGGGTTATTATGGTTCAGTGCAAAGTAAGCCTCAGTGAGCTAAACTCAAAATGAATTCAAGTCAAGGGCAGCTGACCTGTTCTTAATTATTCTTTTCACTATCAGATCTGTTGTGAGGTTATTGCCACTGTCCACCAACTGGAAGATGCCACGCCTCTTGGGTTCCTAAAGACACAGGGAACAGAATAAAATTGATGACAAATAAGGCCTTCAGAAATATTTAGAAATATTCCCAAATAATTTAGCTATGAAAATATGACACAACTGCTTCTTGACAGATGCTACAACACAAAAACATTAAGATGATGGTTGCTGGAAGACGCAGCAGCATCTGCACTATTCTCACTTTTTTCTTGTCCATTATGGATAAGACGATTTAGAGAGAGAGATTAGGAACTTGATATTTCTTTGCCTGCCTGCTTGGTTCCTCGGTCTGCCATCTATCCCAAAGCATTATGGGCAGATTACATTGTCTGGTTCAGATAGGTTACTCAAATCACTGCCCTTCATTGTACCAAAAGATCCAACTGGGGCTGACCACTTTTTGTTTCTGCCCTTTGGCATCTGGGAATTCCCCCTTCCCCCTACCTCTCCCTCTCCAAGGATGACGATGTTCTGGAACATATAAGCCTGCCATCTTTATTCTTCTAAAATAGTTCGGTGAGGGCCAGGTCATTCTTAAAGAATGGATTTCTTTAATAAATGCTCCTCCTTTTGAGGATATGAATACCTATTTTCTACCTCCACTTGGTTTTTGTGAACTTATTCTTCTCCTAAAGTGGGCACTTCTGCTGTTGCTAGAGAAGAGGCTCTCTTGTGGCCTTATTTCCAAAAATAATCTGCTCAAAGGCTTTGCACACAGATAATAGCTCAAGGTCACAAATTGTTGGAAATGCAATCCTTAACATGTATACATATACAGGAAAAATACTTGCTGATCTGCCATGCTTTGATTACAGCAAAACTGACACAGGTTTCTCCTTCTTTTACCTCATATGGATCAGATCCATCCTTGTCTGGGACCAATTCTGTCATCCCGTGGCAAACGAGATCCACCTGTAGAAAGAGATCAATAATCATTACTACTCTCATCCCCAGGCTTCCCTAAGTGGGGAGAAGATATTTATAACAAAGCAAAAATTACTGACTCAACTGTTTTTTAAAAAATCCAGCAACAATGAAACCATTCTCTATCTCCAACTCAATTAAACTGTTAAAATGAGGAATGCAAGTAGCCAGGAGTACAGAAGATGGATTTTTGGACAGAAAAAGAAGTGGGCTGTATCTCACAAAAACAAACAAACAAACCCCAAACTTTTTTTAAAATAAATTCATTAGTCTTTTTGGTGCCAAACATGTCTTTCTGTTGCTTTAAAGTGGAATGGTCTTCCATAGTGATGGTGGACTGTTCTTTCACTGGAGACTTTTAAACAGAAATTGGATGCAGTCTGCTGAAGGATATTTCAGTTATGGGGTTATACACTGCCAGCAGTCTTGACTAACTGGCTCTTGGGATCTCATCTAGCTCTGTGATTTTTTTTTCCCCTCCTTCCTTCCATCTGTAGATCTTTGTATGAATAGTACTTACTTTAAAATGATCCAGTAGATCAGCGGTGACTGCATAAGGAGCTCCAATCACAACTTCAGAAACATACTAAAGGAATAGGGGAGGAGAATAATCAATTGCAACTTTAGATTCCTACATCTGCCAGTGACCATTCCAGTTACTAAATTACAAGTGTGAGATAACAGAATTCATTGTGTGAGCTGAATTCATTTCAACTTCACTCTGCAGGAACTCCCATATATCCTGCTGCTTGATCTCACTTATTAGCTGTCAAAACTGCAGGCACACTATTCATACTTTTCTTTCATTCTCTTTAAAAAAAAAATAATTACGAAGAAACAGCAGAAAAAGCTCTACATGTGCAACTTTAATGTACATTACTTTATCCCAAAAGTGCATCACAGAACATGAGTTCTAATTAATGTTAAATTATTTAAGCAATCCTGGGTAACACTTACTTAACACAGGAAGCTGCCCTACACTACATTAAACTATTTGTGTAGCTGGCTCCTCATGGTCTATTCTGCCTGTCAAGCTTCCCATTCACATTGCAGAATTATAGCAGCTTGACACCACTTTAACTATAGCTCCATCTTATGGGATTCTGGAAGTTGTAGTTTGTTGTGTTATTAGACCTCTCTGACAGAGAAGAGTAAACATGTTGCTAAACGACAAATCCCAGAATTCCACAGCTTATTGAGCCATGGTAGTTAAAGAGGTGTCAAACTGCTATATTTCTGCAGTGGGGATACAGCTAAGGTCTCTCCTGAGTCTCAGGCAAACATCTCGCCTCTCAGGTGATGCTTCATTCTTTTAGCTGGAGGTGGCTGTCACTGAAGCTGGAATCTTCTGAATGACAAACATGCTTTACTGCTGAACATTTTGGCTTAGCAAGCCATCAAGAAACTGTGCTAGATGTTATTTTATGACTTCTTTTCAAATACTTTTCCTGCTTCTTGGCAGGAGGTTAGATTGGATGACCCACAAGGTTTCTTCCAACTCTTTGATTCTATGACTATAATGTCAAAGATGCACATAATCCTGAAACCCTTTCTCTCCCCTTCAGACCCAAGAGCATTGGATATATGCATAGAACATACTGGCCTCACTTCTTGGGAAATGGATATAATTATTTCTCACACTTTTAATGAAACCCGGGTTAGACTAGCTTTACTTCAATAGGATTGCCTTTATTTGCTCTGTTTAGACATGCTAAAGTTTAAAGAGAAGGATTCTAACCATATACTCACCCTGCAGGCTAGAACACTGAGAGTTCGCTCGTGCACATTCATTATTGGGTAATTCTTGCCTTTGTATAGATTTACTTCCTGTAATTAAAATATCAATCAGCTTCAGCACATGCAATGTATTACATTCCCAACTCCTTAATTCCATTGTGAAGGGATGAGGAAAACTCCTCATATAGGCAATAAGGCACAGATACTCACCTGATCAAAGTGCAATCCTGCAATTATATAAGGCTGCTTTGCCATTTGATGCACTTTTTCTAGAAAATCCACATGACCGACATCTGGAATTTGAATATATTAAGAAAGAAAGCCTATGGCAATGGATAAAAGGACTAGAGTTTAAACATATTACTTCCTAGATTTGTTTTCTTCTTGTAATATCTCAGCAAAAATTTATTTGTATATGGCAAACAGAGACACTCACTCTGGAACTGTGGTATGAGTACTATGTTTGTGTTTATATGTCTTCAAGTCACCTGTTGACTTACTGAGATCTCATGAATTTCACAGAGCTCTTAGGCAAGGAGATGGTTTGTCTCTGAAATATAGGCAATCAGCCCCTGCTATTCCTTCATGATCTCCTATCCAAGTACTAACCAGGGCTGACTCTGCTTAGCGTCCAAGATCAAATGGGATCTGATGCCTTCAGGGTATTTAGTATCTAAGACACAGTATTTACAGACTTACTATTACTTGTTTAGAATCAAAACAAAGGAAAACAATGCTACAGAATATACTCCTGATACTGCCCTATTATTCCCAAAAACAACAACAACATTTTGGGATTTTTATAATTTGGTTCCCTTTTTTAAAGCAACAAATGCTAATTGTATGAATAAAATTTCCTAAATGTATTGTCAAAGGCTTTTATGGCCGGAATCACTGGGTTGTTGTAGGTTTTTTCGGGCTATATGGCCATGTTCTAGAGACATTCTCTCCTGACGTTTCGCCTGCATCTATGGCAAGGATCCTCAGAGGTAGTGAGGTCTGTTGGAACTAGGAAAAAGGGTTTATATATCTGTGGAATGACCAGAGTGGGACTCTTGTCTGCTGGACTAGGTGTGAATGTTTCAACTGACCACCTTGATTAGCATTTGATGGCCTGGCAGTGTCTGGGGCAATCTTTTGCTGAGAGGTGATTAGATGTCCCAGATTGTTTCCTCTCTGTTGTTTTGCTGTTCTAATTTTAGAGTTTTTTAATACTGGTAGCCAGATTTTGTTCATTTTCATGGTTTCTTCCTTTCTGTTGAAATTGTCCACATGCTTGTGGATTTCAATGGCTTCTCTGTGTAGTCTGACATGGTGGTTGTTAGGAGTGGTCCAGCATTTCTGTGTTCTCAGATAATATGCTGTGTCCAGGTTGGTTCATCAGGTGCTCCGCTATGGCTGACTTCTCTGCTTGAATTAGTCTGCAGTGCCTTTCATATTCCTTGATTCGTGTTTGGGCAATGCTGCATTTGGTGGTCCCTATGTAGACTTGTCCACGACTGCATGGTATATGGTAGAAGCCGATGAGGAAACACAACATACAAACCATCTAAAGACCCACCAACTGCTACGTTCAGCAAAGGACAAGAGGGATCCTCTCACTTCTGCAGGAGTCTACCGTATACGATGCAGCTGTGGACAAGTCTACATAGGGACCACTAAACGCAGCATTGCCCAAACAAGATCAAGGGGAAAAGAAGCAAGGGTAAAAACATGGATATGTCTGCCTATCCCGGGGAGAAGCTGAAGTGGGGAGGACCAGAAAAAAACAAATGAAGCCTGGCGATATCTACTGAGGAATATGATACAAGTTGACTAGGATAGAATTCAGCTCTCTTAAATAAGTGGGGTGATGTAGCCTAAGCAAGTTGGGAACTGTTGCGCAGGCAGTGCCAATGTGGGATATAACCCTCCTGCTTTCTTGATATACAGCCCCTTCTTTCATTTCAGCCCCAAAGAAACAGATCCAGGATACGGAAAAGGTCAAATGCACCAGCCACATAGATGATGGTATCTCCTGGTTGCGGCTCCTTGCCAGATGCAAACTGGATGATCTTCTGAGATGTCTGCAGGAATTGAGAAACTCCAGTCCAGGGGCTGTGACCTTTTGGGCACTAGAAAAAAAGAATACAAATTCAATACTTCGGCAGGTTTTACTGAAAAAAGCTGAAGAATACCCAGCCTAAAATGTTGTTTAGCCTATATTTCTAGCATAGCAATGCCATACAATTGATAACAAATCCCTCACTTTTGTTTCAGAACACAAAAGCAGAAATAACAAATAAGTATAAGCAGAAATTTAAAAGGCAACTGAAGGCTGAGTTAAAATTTAGTATTTTACTTTATACAAAGAAACTACTGCAGCCAATAAATTACATGCAGCTGCCTCATTTTTAGCCATCTGATTAGTACTTCAAGCACTATTTGATACAAATGTATTAGATTTGCAATTTACAAGAAGGATTTGGTTTTGGTCACTTAATACTGGTGATGAAGTGTTTCAAATATTAATTTAATGGATAAGCTAAAGGCACTGAGAAATTATTGCCTTCCTTTGGCATGAAATCTTGCTATTGCCTCTCTTTCTAATACTTGATATTTACAGGAACAATGGAAGTTGCCTTATACTTAATCAGACATTTTTTTCCCATTCAGTGTTGTACTGTCAACTCTGACAAGCAGGAATTCTCCAAGGTTTCAGGTAAGTTTCTTTCTCAGTCCCACCTGGGGCCCTTCCACACAGCCCTATAGCCCAGAATATCAAGGCAGAAAACCCCACATTATCTGAGTATGGACACAGATAACCCAGTTCAAAACAGATATTGTGGGATTTTCTGCCTAAATATTCTGGAATATAGGGCTGTGTGGAAGGGCTCCGGGAGATCCCCAGTGTTTCCCGTCCAAGTACCAAGAGGAGCAAAGCTTGCTTAGCTTCCAAAACCAGACAAGATCCAGGATCTTATTTTTCTTATTTTTCTTTCTTCTTTTTCTTCAAGTTGTATGGCAACCCTAATTAACTCTTGGATCATATGAATAGCAACATTTATTCACAAAAAAGCCCTAAGTAGTTTATGAAAAAGCTGAGACTGGGTCTATAAAGGAATATTTCCCTTTGAAAATGATTTGATCATAACAAAGATAAAAATAGTTTCTGGCCTTCATATTTCCTTCTTGGAAATTTAATAACTATAAGGTTAATAATTTTGTGACATATTGAAGGAAGAATGAAAGGAAAGGACACCAGAAATTGAAGTATCAGCTGAAACTCAAGCTAATTGAAACTCAGGCTATAGGAATATTGAGCAGTGTTTTCTTTTTGTGCTCATGAAGTACTATGAATTAAATTGGCCAGTTACTGTGCCAAGAAATGAATCTGTTTTGATTAAGAAGCATAATAAAAACTGTCATGTGCCCCACTGCTCTGGCTGTGTCCTCTTAATGTAACTAACAACTTTGTGCATTACTGACTATTCTATCAAGTGCCTTATCTCTGATGAGACAAATACAGTGATAAATTTTGCCTGATTCTGCATATTAATTTACTATTTTGCTTTTTATCAAAGCTTTTGTATTTTTAAAGCTCCAAATACTCTAATTAACCCATGATCAAGTGCTACAAAATATTGAGAACAGAATGGAAGCTTAGCTCCCCCATGTGACAGAACTAGGTACTGCTTCTGCAGCTATATGCCCATCATTTGCGAGGGCATCTCAACCCTAATGCCAAACAGCCATTTCCTTGAGATCAGAGACGATCCACTCAAAGCAGTTACTTTTTTGAAGACACTATCATTTCCAGCATAATCAAAGGGGAACTGGGTATTTATTTATTTATCATGTCGGAAGCAAACCAAGGGTACAGTTGTAATGTATTTAAAAACACAATGTTTTAAAACCTGACATTATATTAAATGTCCTTTGACCAGTAGCTGGCCACTTGGGAGTGCCTCTGATGTTGCTATAAGAAGGTCCTCCACTGTGCATGTGGCAGGGCTCAGACTGCATTGTAATAGGTGGTCTGTGGTTTGCTCTCCACATTCGAACGTCGTGGACTCCACTTTATGGCCCCATTTCTTAAGGTGAGCTCTGCATCTCGTGGTGCCAGAGCACAGTCTGTTCAGCACTTTCCAAGTTGCCCAGGATTCTGTTTGCCCAGGAGGAAGTCTCTCATTCGGTATCAGCCATGGCTTGAGGTTTCGTGTTTTAGCCTGCCACTTTTGGACTCTTGCTTGCTGAGGTGTTCCTGCAAATATCTCTGTAGAGCTTAGAAAACTGTTTCTTGATTTAAGGCATTGGCATGTTGAAGTTACTGGGTGCTGAAGATATTCCAAACATAACACAAGAACCCAAAGAGTTATTTTTATCAGTATTGGCAGGACTAGAAACTAGTATAATAATTCACAAGATCCCCGATTGCTAAGCTGTTCTGATGTGCTCCTCTAGAAATTCTCCAAAATGACATGGTCATCCAAATAATATATTCATAATGTGAACAACTAATATCAGGGGGCTTGCCTGTCTATGAGGATTGCCAGGTTACAACCCGCCCATTCCTTCCATATGTTTTGATCTATCAGTGGGTTGTGCAAGAAGGCAACCATAGCTTGTATCTGGTTCTTTGCTGTCCCATGACATTACTGAAGTATACAGGAATGACATTCTTTGGAAATACAAGTATAAAAGGTCAGAGGAGCTGTATTTTCCTTATAACACATAGGCAAAAGTAAAGGGCCCAAGGAAATGTTTGGGTTAAAACTCTCCATGCCTGCAGTTAATTTCTTGAAACATGTGTGTCCATCAGACAACCCCATGACTTGGCAACCAGTCAAAATGGCTGTAGTCAGTTTGGATATGAACTTGTTCAGTTGTGGTTCTTAAACACACTTTGTTTATGAGCAGATCATTGAATGGCTACAATACACAACATTAAACTCCGTCCATACTCAATTAACCGTAGTTTGCTTGTGGTTTATCATAGCATAGGAAAGCAAGAGTAAAACAGCAGAAACAGGATAGTGAGCACTGGCCTGGTCACAGGCTTCAGTTACAAGTGTTGTAGGCAGAACTCACCTTCCCAAGGTTGTCTGCATGTGTCCGGTAATCCATGTCTTCAACCTGAAGGAGAAAATATAAATAGCAAAAATTCTCACTAGCCAATTAAAAAGGAATGCAGGGCCAGGTATTTGATAGGGCACAGCCACCATCAGTCAGATTTGCCCACCAAACGTTTTAAATGTATCTAATGATAGACTTTTAGCTGAAATTAGTGTAGCAATTGTTCCGTAGAGCACTGTGGACTTCCATCTTTAGCCACACGAGACACGAGGTGAAATTCAAATTTCCCTCTATACTCTCAAGTGGATCTCCAAGACAACTTACACTGTCCATCTGAAGAACTGTTACAATCTAAGATTGCCACACAAGGATCTAACCTGCTTGAACATCCTAATTTGTAACCCATGTGTTTCGTCCAAAAAAACAAAAAATAAAAACACTCCTTCCTGAAGGAATTGTCAAAAGCCTTGACCCCAGTTAACAGCAGGGAGTTCACCAACAGGGTAGCCAAATGTCCATTCAAAGGACAAGAGTTGAATACAAGAGACTCCAGAGTTCGTGGTTAAATCAGTATCCAACAGCTAATATCCAAGAATAAGTCCAGAGATCACAACTACCAAATAGCAAGAATCCGAAGTCATAGCTCCAGGCACTCATGTTGAAGCCAGCAACAAAATGCCCCACTTAAGCTCCTTAAATGCCAAGTTCCCAGGTGTTTTCTACTGCTGGTTTATTTCTTAGCTAATCTCAAAGACTTGCAAAGTTGCGCCTTCTCTCTTCGCAGGTCCATAAAAGCTGGGACACTTAGCCCTTCTTCAGCCTGCTCAGAGGAGCTTGCTTGAACTTGTTCTGCAGGCTGAGGAGTTGTAGCTACTTCCATTGGCTCTAGTTACTTCCATGGGCTTGGTTGAAGGAGCTGCTGGACACTTCTGGGCTCCAGTTCCAATGCCGGCCCTTCAACCAGCGTCTCCCGCCAATTGCTGTCTGTGCTATCCACAACAAGAATGTTCTTTTCTAATCATCCATACAACCAAAAGATCTAAACACTAACAAAAAGACCCCATACACATTTCAAAGGCAAATCTACCAAAGGTATGCCTTCTCTTTTGCTTTTGGCACTAGCTTTCTAAAAAGGTTCTGCTAAGCAACTCCAATCCCAGTACACATCACAGCAATGAGCAGTAAGAGCCATGAAAGCTCCAAAACATTCCTGCAATCTGTCCAGAGAGGATTCTCAGATCGGAAGCCCTTAGCATTATAGGAACTCCCTCATGCAATCCATTATTTGTTTATTTATAACCTGTACATAGGATCACATGCTGTGAACATTATACACATTATACACTTCCAAATTAAAACCATAAATAATTTAAACAAGATGAAATATATCATAAAGACAACTATTAAAATAACTTTAAAACTAGAATGTAAAACCATGTGCATTTCGTCCCACAAAAAGGCTTTAAGAAAATTCCATGTTTCCACTTGGCACTGGAAAGAAATAAACATTGGTGCCAGTATGACCTCCAATAGCAACCCAACAGGAAATGTGTTTTGTCAAAAGGCAAGAGTTCTTTTTGGAGTAAGAGGCAATATGTGGTTTGGAATCCAAATGGTTTTATTGGAAAGCAGGGTAAAGTATTATTATTATTATTATTATTATTATTATTATTATTAATATTATTATTATTATTATTAATATTATTATTAATAATAATAATAATAATAATAAACTTTATTTGTACCCCGCTACCATCTCCCAAGGGACTCGGTGCGGCTTACATGAGGCCGAGCCCAAATACAACAATACAAGCAATAATAACAACAATACAAGCAATTAAAATAAAACATGGACAATAAAATAACGAAACATTAACAATAAAACAACACACAATTAAGCTCCTTAAATGCTAAGTTCCCAGATGTTTTCTACTTCTGGATTGTTTCTTAGCTAATCTCAAAGACTTTAAAGAAGAGATATACAAATGTAGCAAGCTTCCTTCCCCAATCTCTTGATTGGAACCACAGTAACAACCATGAGGAATACCTCAGTGTTGGCCAGCATGCAGCATCTTTCCGGTCCCTGCATTGAGGTTCGCTTTTAGGCTGAACTGTGAGGTCTTTTATATCTTGCCAAATTGAGATGCTACATGTTGTCCAAGGCAACATCCAAATTAATCACACCAGTTTCTCTCGGGTGTTTTGATATAGTGATATTCTTGTACTACCCAAAAGTGAATGGACAACAGCCAAGTTTGCTGATTAGGATATTCTCCTGAAGTTGAAGAGCATACCATCCCAATCAGTTTTGACAATGAAAATATTTTAAAAACATTTTAGAAGACATGGGAATGGGTAGAACAACTATGGCATACCAGACCCACTTCCTTGATGAACAATGGACTTTGCAAGTTTCCCCCGAGAAGGCCCTCATGTCCATCTATCTTGAATTGCCCCCATAGCTGGGACACAGAAGAGGGCTCCTATTTCATCCTTGGTTCTCACACAGGAATATGTTATATTTGTCAAGAAGTCCCTTGCTCCCTCAAACTTTCCACCCTTCCCTTTAACTCACAATGTTGCTGTGGTGGGCTTTGGTCATGAGCAGCATACGGCCAACCAGGTCTGTAGTAGATACTCCCTGGGTGCGCTTACATTCCCTGCAATAAGACAAGCTCAGAGTAAGACAAAGACCTTAGTAATGACTACTCAATAATATTCATAGTGTCTTCAAATTAGCCTTTGCTTGCTGCCTTAAATATGCACCAAAATACACCATAGTGACTGAAGCAAGAGACAAAGAAGAAAGAGAAAAAGCCCCAGAGAATGGTCAGAAGGAAATTGACGTCTTATCTATTTAATTTATACTTTATCATTCTCCCAGAATGAGGCCCAAGTGGCTTATAGTAATTTAAAATACAAATATAACTAAGGTCTTATTTTACCATAGCTATAAACAATTAAATGACAATTTCTGTTTTAAAGGCATATAATCAAAACACTTTAAAACATTTTAAACAAAGCAAAATAATCTGAGACAGTACATTTTAACTCTATGGAAGAAGAGCAAGTTATACCTGCAAAAAAGATAGGTTTACGGAGCATTTAAGCAATTCATCATTATTCTGAAACAGGCAGGGATTCTGAAGAGATCAACAGCAGCAAGAAGTAAAGCTTTACCTATATCTCCCAGCATTCTTCACTTCCTCATAAGTGTCTTTGCCATCTGCTGTAAGTGTGATATCATCTATAAAGAAAAAGAGCACCATATCCTTATTGTAAAGTTGGGGATCTGCCTGGGGAGTTCAAAAGTCACACAATGTACATGTGAGTGTGGGGGATAGGAACAACTTTATTACATACTCTTCCCCACCTAGAAAAGAAATAGCTTCATGAAGACCATTGCACAGCATGACACCTGGATCCTCACAGGATAGGTTCCTGAACTTCACATAGATACGCAAAACCACATATAACTATGAACCTCGTTTTAAATGAAGGATTTCTGGGACAAGAATACTATAGAGTCGCTCTGTGGGAGCTAGAAAATGTCTAAAGAGGACATATTGTGTTGGGCATGGTTAGTGAAACCATGGGTGGATATTGGGATTGTACTGTATCATGAAAGGGATCAGTCTGTAGGGTTGTTAGAAAAAGTGAGATTCTGTAAACAGCATTGGCCTCCACTCTATCTTTTCTAAAACATGAGACATCCGATCAGCTATCCAACCAGAACTTTATGGCTTTATTACACATGTTAGTAGAATTGTTATAATCTAGGGTAAAGAACAAGCATGAGATTTACTAGAAGATATATAGAAACAATTCGTCTCTTTATTTTAGCATATGAACCACACTTCAGCACAGCCACTCTCACTGTGTAAAGATACCAGGTTACAAAAAAGAAGACACTCATGGGCTCACCTCCATGTACACAGAAGTCACAGTTGTATTTGTCCAGAGTTTCCAGTGTTGTAACATAAGGCGCTCCTGGCACAATCTCATCAACCCACTTAATAGCTTTCACCATTTTGTATCTCTCTTCTTGAGTGAAGACAGGAGGACCTTTATGCTTAGAGATTTCCTCTGGGATGAAGAGAAGAGAACACCTGGTTAGTGTCAACCTCTTGTGCTGTTTCAAGCAGTCATGGCTAAAGAGAGAGTGCAGAAAAATACTGGCAGAGCAAGGTGAAATATCAAAAGAATGGACAAAGTTTAGGGTCAGACTATCTACATAACCTGATGCCTGAGTCCAGGAATAAAAGCATCTACTCCCATCAAAATGTGGCAGTGCCCCAGTGGTTTTGCCAACCTCTTTCCATCTCCCTGATATACCAAGGAGCCTATCCACAATGGTGCAAAGGGGGGAAAGTCAACTGCATCATCTCAGCTGGGCATATGTGCAATTACTGTAGCTGTGGTTTGCCTTTGCCATGTCACTTTGCCGAGATTGCATAACTAGGAAAAGAGATGCAGCAGTGCTGAAAATCCCATGCAGGGCACGTGTGATTATGGGGGCGGGGATTGAAACAAGACAAAGCAAGCTTCTTGGCTTTGAATTAATGTATGATGATGGTGGGGTGATGTGGTCTGAGCAAGAGGAGCATCAGCTGGTTGTCACTTCAGCCTCAAGAAGCAAATGGCTCAACCTCAGAGTAGAAAAAACTCATATAGGGATGGTAAGGATTCAGGGTACCAAGATAAAACCCAGATCCTTTTGTCACAAGGTTTCAAGGGAGGGAAAGAAATAGAGGGTTGAGAGATCTTTGGAATGTCTATTTTTCAGGCCAAGCAGTATTCAGGTGGAAAAGAGAAGCAGCAGATCTTGTTCCGTAAAGAAAATTATTTTATATATCTAAGAATATTTATTGATTTGTTTTTAGCAGTGTTTGCCATCAGCTTAGGATTTTTAACTTTGAATATGTTTTAATGGATTTTAACTGTGAATTTGTAATACTGTTTATATTTAATTTTGTTTTGATGTTTGCATATTTGTATATTTTAAATTGTATGCTAATGCTTTTATGTCAAGCCACTTTGAGCCTCCTTTGGGAGAGATAAAGCAGAGTATACATAAATATAATAATAAAACAGAATAGTAGTTCAAAGCCCTATGAACTCTAATAAGATCATGGACAATTTATAGAGCTGGGCTTTTCTGCCATGCTCCGTAAGCCATGGCCCAAGTGAGAAGTGGCAGATGGGCATCCAAATTATTCTAAACCTCTGAGTAGTGCACAGGCTGCACAACTGCCCCTCTCCAGCTATCAAAAACTCAAAGTTTGAGACAGAGTAATGTTTGTATTTATATACTGAATTAGATGCCATATAATTATGGTTAATTATAAGCTTCTATGATAAATATCTCAAAAAAAAATAGACATTGGATTTCCCCCCTTTCTGACTTCATTTTATTTACTGTTATTACGTTCTGTTTCTACAATTTCATCCCTCCATGCTGTCACTTTCTGAAAGCTTGAAGTTTCCACTTGTGCCTTTTACTCAAGCAGACATTGTAGAGTGCCATTATGCTTTTTCTAGCCCCACCACCATCATTTTCTGGTGGAACTAATATTTGGTAAAATACTTCTGATCCTGGAATGGGTATCTCAGAGAGAAACAAACCAATATACTAACACCTTATGGGAGCGAACAATGTTTATGTGTAATGTATTTTGGCATACAACTCCTGTTGATTGGTTTGTATGTCAATAAAGGCTGCATCTCGTATATGAATGGCTGTCGTTTCCTCAGAAACTAGGCTAGGATTGACTGGAAGAAGTTGTTCTGCTTTGTACAAAGAACCCACAATATTATCTTCCTGTTGGTGGTTCTGAACCAAAAGACTGAGAAGCATTTTTATGATTACATTTCTACCCACTATGCAGTTAAGTTTTCCCCTTATATGTTATTAGAAAAAATGTGAGAAATTCCATATGAGCCAAAAATTATAATTTGGAGGTTTACCTCCATGCAACAAATACACTCCCGTGCTATTTTAAATTGGCACCTTGATGGATACTTCTTGTACTTCAGTTTCTGACATTCTCAATGGGGAGAGGGGGGGAAGGGTAAAGTTATGTGGTGCTATATTCTAAAAACAAGAAAATTTGGACTACATAATACCCTAAATACTAGCATACACATAGTCCCAGCTTCTACCTGACTCTCTACTCTTAAAACATCTCTGATACTATCATAGCCAATTCATTTAATTTTTTCAGAACAAGAGAAAGTGAAATTATTTATTTCCAAATGTAGGGGACGGTGTTCTGAGGGAAGCAGCACAGTATTTAGAATATATTTAATTAGTCTTGGTTAATGTTATCACTGAACTTCATTTCTGAGAAAAGGTTTGAATGAAAAGGGAAACAATTTTCTGTTACAAACAGCAGGAGGGAATCTTCATGTGTAAATATGCAGTCTTAAATTACACTATCTTTACAAGTCCTCTATATTCGGCTCACCTGAAAGTGAACCTATCATGCAACTTCATTTTCTCTAATACAAATCAATTGAACTGTAGTAAAGATGGTGTAACTGTGAATAAGACTGCACTGCAAATCTGTAGATATTGGCACAGTCGAAACCTATGTTCTGAGTAATTGTTCCCTTGCCAGGAATGTTTCTGAAACAGACAAAAAATGCAATAATTTCCTTACCATCTGTGTGGACTCCCACAATCAGATAATCTCCCATTGCACGAGCCTGACGCAGCTGGTTGGAGTGCCCATAATGTACCATGTCGTAGCTATATAAAAAGACAAGAGGGTTTGTGAGAATGGTATGGTACTCATTATTTTCTTAAGACTTTCCTGTGCAATATATTAAAAAAACACCACACGAAGTGTCAGTTGAGCTAGGTAGCACTCAGCTACACAATAATTCCTGAGTGAGGCAGGAATCTGAACATGGTTTATTTGTAACTAGGTACATTAATGTTGAAGAGCCAGCAGGTTGTATTGATTTGAACATTGGGCCATGACTCTGAAGATGAGGGTTCAAATCCCCGCTCAGTCATGGAAACTCACTGGATTCATAGTCTCTCAGTCTCAGAGGCAGGTTGAGAGAGAACAGCAAAGGCAAGTTCCTTCTCAACAAATATTACCAAGAAACCCCATGATAGGGTCCAATTGGTGTCACCATAAATCAAAAATGACTTGAAAGCACGCATAACCACAACAAACGATGTTAATTTAAGAGTTGCTTTCTCAGAAGCAGTTATTATGTTTCTCAAAAACATCTCCCTGTACTTTGCCCACTGTTACATACTCTCCACAGAAACAGAAATCACTTCGATTCCTGCTAAGTGAAAAACTGCAAATGCTAAAAATTTTAATAGATTGGGTCCTTCATTCCAAAGACAGTCATAAGTGTGTAGTCACAATACATTTTGATCTTGAAAAACTACTACCTCAAGGATATCTAAAATTATTTTAACAATGGTGATAGCTACAGAATCTCTGGATTATTTTTCAGTAACAAAAGACTCGCAATATGGTGAATGAACTTATCTATATTAGGGTCCATTGAGTGCATTATTATTGGTTGTATAGACTTCTGCTACATTTCTGGATCTCTGTATGAAATCAATACTGCAAGTGAAAACTGGACAGCCAAAAACAGAAAATATTTTAGGTAGGCACTGATTTTCTAAAAGTTCCCAGTGTGTTATTTCTGTGAAGATCAGACAATGCAAACAGTACAGTATTACAATGCAGCCATCTGAAAAGCTAGCCAGAAAGACACTTTCTGTTGCAAAGTAACAATGGGAGAGTGAAATTTGCAATGGAGAATTGGCAAGAGGCAGTTAAGGTTTTGTCTACTTCTTACTCTTCCCATGAGACACAACTCCCCTCAATATTATTTTCCTGTGGAATGTCAGATAAATGTTTAGAAACTGATGATGTTTGCTTTGATGGAAAAGTACAGGTGAAAAGTTGTTCCTGGGAGAAAAAGGTCACTGGGGAAAAGGTTATGCACCTTACTTCACTGCTTCCCTGTTGTAAACTGTCATCTCCAAAGGATGCGTTGTTATAAAGAAGTAGTTGCTAGCATAATACTATGTATTGTATTGTATATTAATTGTCTCTGCAATATAAGTGGACATAGATGTGTAGATATAGTACACAGACACGCGCTTATTCATAACAAGCACTTATTGATTAAAGTAGTTCCCTCCTTGGAAGGGCTGATACAGAGATAAAGGGAAGCTACTGAAGAAACTCTCCAGCAAAGGATCACCGCCTTGTCGGGGCGCTGGAGCTTGAGCACCTCAATGATGTCATGAGCGAAACCGTGAAGGGCCACCCAAGACGGGACGGTTGTGGCAGAGAGGTCAGACCAAGCGTGATCCCTGGGGAATGCAATGGCAAACCACTCCAGTATCCTTGCCAAGAAAACTAAATGGACCAGTACAACCAGAGATATGTCGGTATGCCATGGAAGATGGGACTCCCAGGTCGGAAGATGGCCAAAATGCTACTGGGGAGGAGCAGAGGATAAGTTCAACTAGCCCCAGATGTGATGACGCAGCTAGCTCAAAGCCGAAAGGAAGGCTAGCGGCCGACGGTACTGGAGGTGAACGACGAATCCGATGCTCTAAAGATCAACACACCATAGGAACCTGGAATGTAAGATCTATGAGCCAGGGCAAATTGGATGTTGTTATTGGGGAGATGTCAAGACTAAAGATAGACATTCTGGGGGTCAGCGAACTGAAATGGACTGGAATGGGCCACTTCACATCAGATGACCACCAGATCTACTACTGCGGACAAGAGGAACATCGAAGAAATGGAGTAGCCTTCATAATTAATAAGAAATTAGCTAAAGCGGTGCTTGGATACAACCCAAAAAATGACAGAATGATCTCAATTCGAGTGCAAGGAAAGCCTTTCAACATTACAGTGATCCAAATATATGCCCCAACCACAGCTGCTGAAGAAGCAGAAGTAGATCAGTTCTATGAGGATCTGCAGGACCTACTGGATAATACACCAAAAAGAGACATTATTTCATTACAGGAGACTGGAATGCCAAGGTGGGAAGTCAAATGACAACTGGGATCACAGGCAAGCATGGTCTGGGAGAACAAAATGAAGCGGGACGCAGGCTGATAGAATTTTGCCAGGAAAACTCGCTGTGTATAACTAATACTCTCTTCCACAACCTAAAAGACGGCTTTATACATGGACCTCACCAGATGGTCAACACCGAAATCAGATTGACTACATCCTTTGCAGCCAAAGGTGGCGGACATCCATCCAGTCGGTGAAAACAAGACCTGGGGCTGACTGTAGCTCAGATCACGAACTTCTTATTGCCCAATTTAGAATAAAACTAAAGAGATCAGGGAAAACACACAGACCAGTTAGATATGATCTCACTAACATTCCTAGCGAATATACAGTGGAAGTGAAGAACAGATTTGAAGGACTAGATTTAGTAAACAGAGTCCCAGAAGAACTATGGACAGAAGTCCGAGACATTGTTCAGGAGGCGGCAACAAAGTACGTCCCAAAGAAAAAGAAAATCCAAGAAGGCAAAATGGTTGTCTGCTGAGACACTGGAAGTAGCCCAAGAAAGGAGGAAAGCAAAAGGAAACAGTGAAAAGGGGAGATATGCCCAGTTAAATGCGCAATTCCAGAGGTTAGCCAGAAGAGATAAGGAACTATTTTTAAATAAGCAATGCATGGAAGTGGAGGAAGACAACAGAATAGGAAGGACAAGAGACCTCTTCCAGAAAATTAGAAACATTGGAGGTAAATTTCAGGCAAAAATTGGTATGATAAGAACAAAGATGGCAGGGACCTAACAGAAGCTGAAGAGATCAAGAGAAGGTGGCGAGACTATACAGAAGATCTGTATAGGAAGGATAATAATATTGAGGATAGTTATGACGGTGTGGTGAATGAATTAGAACCAGACATCCTGAGGAGTGAAGTTGAATGGGCCTTAAGAAGCATTGCTAACAACAAGGCAGCAGGAGACGACGGGATCCCAGCTGAACTGTTTAAAATCTTAAAAGATGATGCTGTCAAGGTGATGCATGCCATATGCCAGCAAATATGGAAAACACAAGAATGGCCATCAGACTGGAAAAAATCAACTTATCCCCATACCAAAAAAGGGAAATGTGAAAGACTGCTCAACTTCCGTACAGTGGCCCTTATTTCTCATGCCAGTAAGGTAATGCTCAAGATCCTGCAAGGAAGACTCCAGCAATACATGGAGCGAGAGTTGCCAGATGTTCAAGCTGGGTTTAGAAAAGGCAGAGGAACGAGAGGCCAGATTGCCAATATCCGCTGGATAATGGAGAAAGGCAGGGAGTTTCAGAAAAACATCTACTTCTGCTTCATTGACTATTCTAAAGCCTTTGACTGTGTGGATCATAATAAATTGTGGCAAGTTCTTGGTGGGATGGGCATCCCAAGCCACCTTGTCTCTCTCCTGAGGAATCTGTACAAGGACCAAGTAGCAACAGTCAGAACTGACCACGGAACAACAGACTGGTTCAATATTGGGAAAGGCGTACGGCAAGGCTGCATACTCTCACCCAACCTTTTTAACTTGTATGCAGAACACATCATGCGATGTGCGGGGCTGGATGAATGCAAAGCTGGGGTGAAAATTGCTGGAAGAAACATTAACAACCTCAGATATGCAGATGACACCACTCTGATGGCCGAAAGCGAGGAGGAGCTGAGGAGCCTTCTAAGCAAGGTGAAAGAAGAAAGCGCAAAAGCCGGGTTGCAGCTAAACGTCAAAAAAACCAAGATTATGGCAACAAGAATGATTGACAACTGGAAAATAGAGGGAGAAACCGTGGAGGCCGTGACAGACTTTGTATTTCTAGGTGCAAAGATTACTGCAGATGCAGACTGTAGCCAGGAAATCAGAAGACGCTTACTTCTTGGGAGGAGAGCAATGTCCAGTCTCGATAAAATAGTAAAGAGTAGAGACATCAGACTGGCAACAAAGATCCGCCTAGTCAAAGCCATGGTATTCCCTGTAGTAACCTACGGATGTGAGAGCTGGACCTTAGGGAAGGCTGAGCGAAGGAAGATCGATGCTTTTGAGCTGTGATGTTGGAGGAAAGTGCTGAGAGTGCCTTGGACTGCGAGAAGATCCAACCAGTCCATCCTCCAGGAAATAAAGCCCGACTGCTCACTGGAGGGAAAGATACTAGAGACAAAGTTGAAGTACTTTGGCCACATCATGAGGAGACAGGAAAGCCTAGAGAAGACAATTATGCTGGGGAAAGTGGAAGGAAAAGGAAGAGGGGCCGACCAAGGGCAAGATGGATGGATGGCATCCTTGAAGTGACTGGACTGACCTTGAGGGAGCTGGGGGTGGTAACGGCCGACAGGGAGCTCTGGCGTAGGCTGGTCCATGAGGTCACGAAGAGTCGGAGACGACTGAACGAATGAACAACTGAAGAAACTACAAAGAAAATTAGTATCTGGGCCCAGATGAAGCTTCTTTTTGCTTAGGCCTTCAACTCATGTACTATGTGTAGGCAGACCTGGAAAAACCCCTTTCCCTCCAAAATCCCTTTAAGTGACTGCAAAACAATAAAACAAAGCCGTTACATGATTAATATTTTATACCCAGGTTATGTATAATGTCCTTTACAAGTGCAACACGCATTGTTACTCACTCCTGCAGCAATCTACATTATGGAAAACCCATGCACCTTTCTTTGCTTTCCACTGTTGTGTTTTCATTGCAAATTGGTTCAGCCTCACT